AATTTGATTTCAACTTTGTAGAGAAAAATGAACTAAAACGACGCATGAATTACAATTAGCTTATTTAAGTTCTATAAAATCAAACTCAGATGTTGAGTTGATATTAAACGGTAGCTGTTCGTTCAACCAGCAGGAGATGCAGAGTGACCTCATCCCACCAGCCCATGGGGAGGGGCTGGCAGGAAGGGCCTCTGCTCAGCTCCTGAAAGCTGTTTCTGGCTTCTGACGTTGAAAAGATCTCTTTCTCTCTTTCATTCATTCACTCACTGTCGATTTTGGGAACTTAACTAACTTTTAAAACCTGTGTTATGGGCGGAGTCAAGGTTTTAAGTTGGCCAATGAAAATATTACACCTTATACAGGAAAACTTTTTAACAAATCAAATCTGTTTTGGAGGGAAAACTTTACTTCAGGACAAAGAAAAGGGAGTGTTTTAGTTGGATTATCTTGCATCTAATTAAAGGGAGAGACATCTGTTTACCTTACACACACTGTTTAAAATCATGAAAAAAAAGAAACATCTTCTTCTTTAGGAAAATATTTCATCAAACAATTAACACCACACAGTTACTGAATAGTTAACTAAGCAAAACTTAGTAGATCCTTTATGGTCTTTTTAGTTCTTTCCTGTAAGAAAATGGATTAGATGACATTCTTTGCAATAAGACATTAGATACACAGATTCCTTTATCTTTTCTCCTTTTTTTCACATTTAATGAAGAATGTAGGTCCTTGGTCTCAGACACAGAAGTCTGGTTAAAGGCATTTATGATCCCCCCTTTGAAAAGGAACCAACAGTCTTGTGCTTATCTGTTAACATTAAGACGTCAGGAAGTCTGGTGGGGGTTTGGTGTAAGAGATGCTCATTAGGGCCACAAAGGAAAGTTCCATGCAAAATCCTTAAAAAATAGTCTGAAGTTAAAGTGAGATTTTGTTTCTTTCTCTGAGCAGTCATAGGAACAAGTGAAATCTAATCAGTAATGATTAATTATATGCAGGAAAATGCTACAACTCTGACCTCTGGTCTCTGAGCTCTGGTCTCTGACCTCTGGTCCCTGGTCTCTGACCTCTGGTCTCTGACATCTGACCTCTGGTCTCTGACATCTGACCTCTGGTCTCTGACCTCTGGTCCCTGGTCTCTGACTTCTGGTCCCTGGTCTCTGACCTCTGACCTCTGGTCTCTGAACTCTGACCTCCTGTCTCTGGTCTCTGACCTCCTGTCTCTGGTCTCTGACCTCTGGTCTCTGACCTCCTGTCTCTGGTCTCTGACCTCTGGTCCCTGGTCTCTGACCTCTGGTCTCTGACCTCCTGTCTCTGGTCTCTGACCTCTGACCT